TCCACCAGTGATTCTCATCGTAGGGTTTGTTATTACAAATTCAGTTTTCGTAAGGTTGACGTGAATACGATTTCAATTGTTGGGGTTTGATCGTTAATTTCAATTTTAAACCCTATGAAGGAGTCTAGTACAGCATAAAAAGTCTTAACCTCGCCTTTCCTTTTTCCTTTTTTACTTTTCGCTCTAAATCTATATTTATTCGTATTATCTTGATTTCATATTCCTCTCCCTCTTTTATACATTTTCTTCTATTGTCCCTCCATTCTGGTCATTAGTGTGTTTAGTTGAGCCTGAGCTGGGCGGACAATCCGTCAGTCCTGATACTAATGCTATTCATGCTATTCATGCGCAAAGAGCACTAATCTATATTAACTGTACATTTGCTGAGTAAGCACCAAGCACGAGTCTTGAGTCATTCAGGTATGTTGATTGTCTTTCATCAGTCTGTGTATACAGTATCTAGTGAGTCGACCATTGTGAACGGGTTTATCGCTCTGCGGTGAGCTCTTTACAGTTTTTTCATGCCTCATTTTTGAACATTCTCCATCTAATTATGTTTGCTTATGATTTATGGATATTAGCACCACTTCCGTTGCACGTAAACAATCTTTCAAAATAGTGTTGTAGTGTTGGTAAGTTTTGATAACTCCTCGTGGTCGTTTTAAACGGGCTAACAAAGGTTACATCGTGGAAACCGTTCGAAAATAATATATAATATAAGGTTAATACTTTTTTAAATACTTTTTCAATGAAATGACGATCATACAAAGTAGGTATTTTAAGCCAAGTATGAATGGAGATGAGTGAAAGATGAGTGGCGCGATCTTGTAGCCTTGTTAGTGACTAAGGTCGACCTATTCCTTAAGGCCTGGTTCCACAGGATGCGGAATCTCCGCCGTGCGGTGCGATTTTTTCCGCTGCGGAATTAAAACGACACTGGTTTAATGGAGTTCCCATGTATGCGGTTCCACTGACTTGCGATTCCGCATCCCGAAATTTCCGTTCCGCATGGCGGAGAAATCATACTGGTCTGAGAGCAGTAGCAGTGCGGATTCCGCCAGCGGAGAAGAGCCATCAAATATTGTGACCGTGCAGTTTCATTATGTCTTGTGCTGTAAAAATAGTTATAGATGAACGATTATAAAGTAACACCTATAATCGCAACACCGATTTTCAACAAACTTACTTTTAAATTAATTATTATAATACATACATTTAACATAAACTGTCGAAAATGGTAGACCTGACGAACAATTATCCTGAGATGTTTGGGTATCAAGTGTTAAACGGGATCTCGTGATTGAAACCCCTTAAGTTTTGTTAAATAAATAGGAAAAATAGTCTCCTTCACTGTCTCGATTCTTAAATATGTCACTTCGATTACTGTGACTTGACGCTAACAAAGATAAAAGATCGACAACATCATCATCAATGGCATCATATAGCATCAAAGCCAAAAGGGCTTTCCTCTTTGTATCCATACTCGTCGCTAGTTTGGACAGAACTGAATCTCCGCAACGTTATTTTCGCAGTCTGTAGAACCACCCCTCTAGATTTTTCGCTGCGTAATTTTTCGCTGCGAAAAATTACGCACCGCATGGCGGAGATTCCGCATCCTGTGGAACCATAGCTTTAGACTCAGCTGTTAATTAATAGCACATACAGCTATTGGCAACTAGAGACCCACAGTTTATAGTGGAATCCGAACCACAATTTTGCCTTTATACGATTTGGCCTAATTTTCAGGATAGTACTGCGGATAGTCGTAGTACTCACTCGTGCGGACGTTAATCCACACCAGGGAGTATCGCATCCACAGTGCATGCCTATAAATATCCCAAATTCGTATTCTCCTAGTAGCTGGATCCCACCCGTCCCAGTTTTTAAAAAGTTGTTCAATGAACCAGTAGTTAATATTAACTACTGGTTCATTGATCAACTTTTTAACACTTTTTCAACTACATTTTTTAACAACTTTTTTTATTACTACTGTAACCGTTCATAGACCAAGGAATACTAAGGTAAATGTGTTTTGAAGTATTTTTAAAGTGATGATATGCATTTCCTTTGAGTTACCGTAACGTTTTGTCGTAAAACACTGCTACCGGCTAAATTCATTTTCGCTAGCTATTTAAAACAAGTAACTTCTTGCAAGAAGTGTGTGGTAGATTTAATTTCATATCGACGTTTTAGGAACTCATTATGTTTGTGTATTTGTTAATAGAGAATGTTACATTTTGATAGATCGTTGTTAAAAAGTTTCCAAAATTACTCGCAAATGGACTTTTAATCACACTTTGTGACCGGGAAGAAAGCAAAGTTGGATACCAAACTGTACCTATATTTTAATCCGCTACCATTCACCCCCTCCCTGTCCAAGTGATATCTCTCACGCACAGTAATCGCCCCGTTTAGTTGGCACAGTCACGCACGGTCGCGGTCTCCGGTCTTGCGGGATTTAAATAGTTAATCACACAGACACGCCTCGCTGGTCGATAAAAATAGACCACGTTGGCTCTTTAATAATGAACGTAGTGCTGATTGGACGGCGTGTTCTTCATCATTGGACCGCGAGTTTGTTTTATATTATTGAGCTGACCTCATGAATGGTGTAACAGTCCGGGGGTAAAATTCCGGCTTGTACACTCTAGGTTTTTATAATTTGATGTGTTCTGATTAAATTCACAACCGTGAAAATTGTACTGTCAATTCCTCCATCGAACTGATGTTGTGCAACTCAACAGTTCACGGCTGGAGTTTTTCCCCCTGGTTTGTGACGCCAGTTTTGCCCAGGGGGTAAATTTCCAGTGGGATAAAAATTCGCTACCCCAGCTGGAATATTTAAAACAGCTTATTAAAACACTGCAGCAGTACTTCCATTAGAAAATGACTGGATCTTTGACGGCCTGTGGGGCAGAGCAGGTGTAATTTTTGACACGTCTGAAATTTTTCCGACCGTCCTTGATAATCTTTAAAATGAGTCCTCAACAGCCATGCTACCTTTTTCCTAGCTCAAGATACTTCGTGGGGACCGATTCGCTTACTGAACTAAATGTATAGATATGACTCGACCTATGTTAACGAACTTCTGTTAACGAACTGCATGATCTACAATATTCTGAGACCAGCCTATGAGCTACTGCTGTTCTTTTTCGACTTGTGTCGTATTGTTGTCACCACTACTCGCTAAATTTTGCATTATACAGACACCAGCCTATCCTGCATACAGAAGTCAAGTACTGTAGCTGTTGTTCGTTCTTTCCTCTCGTCTATAGTTCCTCATGTCATGTTACCCCTGTGTCTGTATCAGCCCGTGTAAGCCACGGCCGACCTTCTACCCCACTACCCTAGGGACACACGCCACTCACCCTCTATGATTCTAATTGATTTACTGACGACCAAATCCTATCCACCCCACGGCTAATGCCTCATTATACCAGCTGCCTCGGGGGGCGATGACAAATCATGCCGGGGTTTTAACGGATAAGATGATTAAAGTGCAATTTGTGGGCTTAGCCGCCGCCCGTGCCCTCTGGACTTATATCAGCCGGCTGTTGATTCTGATTAGGCTTTATATTTGGACATTTGGGTTTCGATTCAATGTTTGCATCTACAAGGGTCTATAACTTTGAATTCCCTATTATTTTAGAACAAAAATTAAGTTGTAACTTATATATACAGTATTTAGAGGAAAACTCTGTGGATTGTTGTTTGTAAGTACCTTCTTTGGTTAATGAGCTAGGATATTCGAATTTTCATGATAACTTGCATATTATTCTATATCAAGTCATGTTAGCCTTTGCTTGTCTGTTGTGGCAGTTTGGTCTACCAGCTCATAACTAATAACCTACTATTACTACTACTGTATGTTATGATTTAAATGTTTACTATACTTTTTTAACTAGATATTTTACTAAGTTAATACTAAGTTACAACTCCAAAACTTAACACCTCCTAAGTAGCCCAAACACACAACTGATGTTCAACATTTTCAAATCGAACTGAAAGCAAGAATGTACTATATGATAATAAAAAATCCTTTTTATTTACCGCTGTTTTTAATTATATAAGCTATTCCAATAAATCATACTTCTTTGTTGTTCGACAAATCTTAACAAATATTTAATAAAAAACACAAATAAAAACGTTGAAGTGAAAATAATTAAAAAAATAATAAAGGGACTTTCCCGGTTTTGTTTTCAAACGAAATAAAATGAAATGTCAACCCATAGACGTTGAAAGTCGAGTCAAAGGCTCACAAAGCTACACGGCCATTAACTCTGAATATCTGGATATCGTGAATATCTCAACGCGGGCAAACCGCCAGACGTACGCCTTTGGACCGCGTTCCTCCCCCCCCCTCCACCCGCATCTCTCAGTGATGTCTTTTCATCTGAAACGCCGCGTTTGTTTTGCCGGTAAAACAAGCTCGCTACTTTCAATACGCAATGTTTGTGTTACTTTGTTTGTCCTACCATTCCCCAGCCTTTGACACCCTTGCAAATATTATAACTCTCTGTTACAATATATCGGAAAATTCCAAGTGTAAACCTACAAAGGGTTGCCTCGTGTATTGGAAACATGTTTTAGTATAGATATTTTACTTTGTGTTAAAGCTATGTATTGGATATTTTCGAGAATTCGTGTAATTATAAATTTTATTTTGTTATTTCGACATTTAGACGGATTTTTTCATTCTATCCCTTTGTATGAATGTCTCTTTAAACTTAGGATTGCCTTTGGAGTTCAAAGGATCCAACTTTAACCTTAATAATATTTAAAGGATTGTTTGACTAATTATATACTGAACATCAAAACAATGGGAAATTAGTTGGTTTTCAAATTAATTCGCGATAGTTGTACCTGCCGATGATACTCAACACTTTTATTCTGTTACAGCGCATGTGCTGGTACACCATTTTGCTTACTATTCCAGCGAGCTGAAAATCACAATTTAGTTTTTAAATTTACAAGTTGTTCTCACAGTGTTCTGATTTCAGGATAACCAAAAGGGCCTCGACCGACCCTTGTTCTTTCCAAATCACGCGGTAAGGGTTTTGATTTACTGTATCTATATATGTTGTGTCTTTCCCTTGTATTTTTCACTAGATGATAAGTTATGTATATGTGCAAACACATAGATTTCATTTAGAAGTGCGTCCTCCTAGATTAGAATTAAAATAATATATCGATTATACAAAACTTTGAGTTGTACAGTGTAGGCCTACTACAAATTTAAATTCCAGTTGAATTGTGGTTGTGGTGCAATGTTACATTATTATTTTTATAAACTTGACGAACAACAGTAAGAAGACCAATAATTTTGTATAAATTACTGGTATAAAAACTGATCTTTTGGGAGAAACTGCATTGTTTATCAGACAGTGAAATATCTTGTGTAGTCAGGTGATGTGTGGTGAACAGCACACACACACAAGAGCCAGACTATTGACCGTGAATATCATACTGTACAATGCTGCATTTGCTAAACTGTAGAGGGAAGGAAAAGTAGTTGATACACAGTTGTAGAAATCAGTTGCAAAAATAAGTTGTAAATATATAATCTGTTTCAAACTTGGTTCTAGTTCATACACAACTCTGTTTATTCATATTTGCACTGAATATACTTCTTGAAATACAATATCTCAGCTCTTATTCTCACGAGCCTGTCTTCTATGGCGAGACTATTGTCTAATAAAACCAGCGATTCCGCAGAAGTTAATGCCTTCAAGATTCTGTTACCTGCAGTTAAAGGATTATGTCCCAATATAAAAATCGTTAACCCACTTATCCAATGGTTTGAGCTGTAGACTGCAGACCATGAAACAGTTTGGGCTCTAGGCAAAGTACGTACTTATTCGCGTCTCAAAGGAAGTACCCTGAGTTAAGTGGATATAAAGGGGTGAAATAAACACCCTTGTACCTTGGAGATACGACTAGCCATCCAATTGTAATATACTATCCTGTGCATGTTTACCGCAATTTTATTCTGCTCTGCCCCATTTTGGTTTTGTGTAACAATACAAATTTCAGTAGCTGAATCGTTTAAGTGCAGAGTTTGAAGCACTTTTTCCATGTAGAAAATTCATGTAGGACTCAGCTATCGAATTCGGTGTTATAATACCTTTTTGGGTGGTAAATAACCGTCCAATTGTAACCATGATACAGTTATCATCCGACACCCAGCTTCGCTTTCTGGAATTTATTCAAAGTGAATGCGATATTTAAATTCTAATCTACGGCTGAAAGTCGGTTTGCCCGCGCTCGTCCTGCGAGGTGTGGATGTTTGCGTCTAGGTTCCGTGTCTAACCAAAGAAAATAGAACCAACGTAATACCGTCTACATTGTTTCAATCTAGTTTTCTTATCACTTGTGACAAAAAGTCCAAATCTAAAATATAATTTATTCATTAATAACCTGTTCGATTTGAAACTTTCGTTAGGTCATTGCAAAGATTTGTCAGAGGGTACGTACGCTGTCCATCCGCTACAACTATTCTTATTACACAGAATGTCGCTGAACGTAACTGACGTGATCAGAGGTCGTTGAGGCACTTAGATCAAGGGTGTAATCCTTGCCAATCTGGTGGATGGTGGTTTAATGACCGTCCTTAAACCACTACGGCAATTAATGACCAATAACTGACTCTACCGTTAGACGACTAATGTAACGACTCTACTTACATGTGCAACTGGTTGTTCTCGTAAACCCTTTCTTTCGAGTACATTAATATTTTTGTACAGTATTACTTTCATTAATTACTTGTTTGCATGCATGATATCTTTGCTATTTTACAAACTTGTAGTATATATGTTTTATTTCACTACAGTTAAAGAAGTTTGTTAAAGAGGTTATTCGGCAGCAACACTATTACATTTTATAATCTTATATAAACCACGTACTAATAGGTTTGTATTATTATATTCATATTATACTGTATATGCAATGTAAAGTTCATGTGCAAGAAAACCGAACCAATAACGGAATTTTAAACACAAATTTTAAACGTTGCTGTTATAAAACCTTGCAAGAATCATATAACCACTCGAAACTGTAGGGCTCATAAGATTTGATACGGTCATAACGTATCTGCTACTAACAACCGTTAAAACACAAATCTGTTCAAATCCTAAAAGCTTTAATCCCATTAAATCAAGTTTTTATCTAAAATTGTTGTTATTTGCGAGTCGCTCGTAGTTTTTGATTACGGCCAAGTAACTTTTTCCGCACAGAGTGAAAGAAGCCATTTTACGGTCCAATTAGGTGTTTTTGCCGCCGCTTATAAAAAGACTGTTTATTCGCATTCGACACAATTAACCTTTTGGAACCGGTTCGTACCTGCTAATGATCTGAACCTGGTGAAACCCGCCACAAAAACTGCAACAAGTGACAAGAAACTAATATATCTAATGGGAATATACATCGTGCCTTCATCTGCGAACGTTTAGTTCTTTGAAATGTTTTAAATTATACCGTATCATCTTATAATCATTGTGATTCTGTTTAAACGTTGACGACATACAACTAAGCAATCAAGAGCAATTCTGTGAAACGGATGACAATAAATACAATTTTGTTTCATTCTCTTATTATGAATTAATTTGTCACTAAGCGGGTTTTTATTTTGAAAGAATACAATTAGATTTAGTTCATTCAAACGCGTCTGTAGACATATTGTAAATTATCCAGTATTACCTTATAATCATTGTTGACGTCATAAATTAAGCAATCAGGAGACATTTTGTGGAACGGATGAAAATAAAATGTTGTTTCATTTCTTTACTATGAATTAATTTTTCTCTAAACTGTTTTTATTATGTAGGAATACATAGGTATACATTTTGTTTGTTGAAACAGTGGGAAAATGCTTAAGCCCAAAGGCCGACAAAGTAAGTTCAAAATTAAAATGTACCTTTTTTCTGAAGGTCTTTTTACAGTTCTCGGGCTTAGCGCAGTTGTGGCAGTTCTGTTGTGTTTACGATGTAAAAGTATCGTTATTTATTTAATTATATTGAGATGCCGTTTGTATGCGTGGAGCGACGGCGTGGCGGGCGGCGGCGGTCGGCCGCATGCTTGTATGGGATGTTGCACGTGACAGCGGGTGATTGTGTCCCCGTGCTAGGCCTACGGCCAGACTTGTTATGGGACCGCCGCCGCCGTCACCCGTATGCACCTTTGTATCGCGTTACCTCATTTGGGGGTTAGTGACAGTAATTGATATAGATGAATTGTTATTAGTCCGTGTACGAAACGACTGACTATAAACCAGTAATGACGAAAGAGGTTGCCTTAACCTCATAGTAACAATTGCACTTTTTATATTTTGTGACGTTTATTCCCTATGTATTTTTTTTCAAATAACTTTCCTTTGTTCAATTAGACAGAATAAAAAATCTCTATCATTTTAAATGTAGATGGTGTTGTTGAAAATAATAATGTGTAAGGATTACTGAATTGTTTTTGCTACTTGAAATTTCTAAAAATCGGATAAAAAATATATAAATAAAATGAAAATGAATTTTTTACGTTGTGTGACGTTGTGTTTAATTAGTTGTATATCCGGTTTATGTACATATTTAAGGTACAACTTATTGAGTGTATAATTAATATTTTAGATGCATGTTGTTATCATGGACGTTTTATATACACAAACATCAATACTTCTGCTACGGTAAAATATAAATATATATTTTATATATACTATTATAAAATCTGCGCAATATATATGCCTACAAGACATGTCTATGTAGCCTTCAATTTAATTACACCTAGTATGTCTATGACGGGAGTGTAGCGGGTATAGTCTGATGTCGGTCGCAGGCGCACGTCCTCTATGACCCCGCACTCGCAACTCGCACAGGTCAGGACTCTCACGGCGTTGGAATGGCACATGGCGAACAAACTGTATACGGAGTAGTGTAGTGTCGCCATGAAACCTATGCCTACATACATTCATACTCTATTATAGAGTTTCAATAGTGTATGAAATCTCACTTAACACAATTTGTTTACTTATTTATTTTGCTTGTTGATAAAGATAAACGCCGTATACAATTGTTTAGCGAGAAGACAATCAGTTTAGAGGATATTAAAATGTATTTGCTTGGATTGTACTTGGATTGAAAATTCTCAAATTAATTCCTTGTTATTACCATGTTATTACTCAGTTACATCTTTGACTATCAATACAACAACAGTCAATGGTTACATCAAGTTAATGTCATTAAAATTGGGTTATTTGGTCACATTGAAAATAATTGAGGTCAGTCCGAGTTTATAAGTTTCCAATAAAGAAATAACTTAAGCCTTCGTGAATAATAAGTAGAGAAACAAATAATTGCCATTTAGAAGTTTAAGTAGCAACACGAATTTCAATAAAAAATTTTAATAGTTAGTTTGATTAATTTTTACGGTATAATGTGCTAAAACTCATTGAAACTCATTGGGTAACGCGAAACACATATGACGTGTTAGGAAACGATAAATCTTCCGGGTTTGTGGATAACATTTCCTTTTCACCAAGGTGGGTTGAAAATACCTTTATATTTTAGTACTGTACATATTTACCTTAGCATAAGAGGATTTACTTAGCGTCTACAATGTTAGTAGATTTGCACAGTGGTGACGTCACAGACCAAGGTAAGATAGGAGCAGTTGTGTGTAGAGTGTAGTGTGAGTGGAATACAAACAACGGTAGCGGTTGTATAAACGTGATAACAGACGAGTTAAACAACCGTGTAATCCTCAGATAAGAGACGAGAGAGACACTCACAGACACTCGTACTTATCCACCATCCAGTCCCAAGTCCACCTCAGCTCAACCAGCATTGCTGTGTTCTAGTATAGTGGAATACAAACAACGGTAGCGGTTGTATAAACGAGATAACAGACGAGTTAAACAACCGTGTAATCCTCAGATAAGAGACGAGAGAGACACTCACAGACACTCGTACTTATCCACCATCCAGTCCCAAGTCCACCTCAGCTCAACCAGCATTGCTGTGTTCTAGTATAGTGGAATACAAACAACGGTAGCGGTTGTATAAAC